ACAAGCTTGAGCGACTTTCTGTCATTCTCTTTAATGTGGTTCTCCTACCACCTTCCCTTTCTTTCCTACTACCTCCATCCAAAAACATCCTTTGGCTGGCATCTCAGCTGTACTCATGGCTTAGTCCTTTCTTCCTCACTGTCAAATTGTTTGCTTCCCTTTCTGAAATTGCACCAAGGGCTACTTAAAATTGTATTTTAATGTAACTAAAGCATTTAACATATGCAGGGGGAAAAATTAAAAGGTTGCATTAAAAAAATAATTACATATATAACAGATGTATAAAGAGATATATTTGTATCTGCTCATTATTTAAACCTATTACTCAGGGGTTAGACAAACATTTTCAATGGTCCAGTGGTCAATGTTAGAAGCCAGTCTGTGTAAAGTGGAGAGGGTCAGATCCCAAGAAGCAGCAAGCACTCTTGATTGTTATTGATGTTGATAGTTGCAGCTAGTGCTCAGTACAGGCAATGACCTTCATCAGGCTACACCATGGAATAAAACACTAATTTAAACCAGCCTGGAAATACTGTGTGCAACCTCTCTCTATTAATTTTTTCACTGTCTCATCTCTTGCATTCTCTTGGACAACTGGAATATAGCTTTGGCCAGTGAGCCACAAAACATTCTGCTTTCCCCTTTTTAAGTGGAGAGGTTTTACCTTGTCTGGAGTATCTGTCCTTTCTCTGCACTACAGCATTTTTTCTGCCCAAATGACCAATTCCTCCTTTCACAAGAAACACTGTTCAGAATTAAACCTGACTATCCTGTCATTTCTGTGGAAACAAAGCAGAGATGTGAAGGGTCAATTTATTCCCAGTAATTCTGACGTAGCATAGTGTCTTGTGCAAAGATGCAGAAGAGAGACATGAGAAGAACACGATGCTGCCTCACCAAAATGCCTCTCACAAATGACTTAATTTTTATCCTGTGCAAGAGGAGCATTGGCTTTCAATCTGATTGCGCACACACAAAGACTTTTTAAGTTACCACACGTGTAAGAGAAGATATCTTCAGCTATATATTTTGTCTAGTTTACTTGTGACAGTTTCAAAATGACAAAAAATATTTTCTTCATTCAGAAAAAAGAATTTGAGATGCTGTACAAAAAGCAACAACAAACTGAAAATTTTGCAGAAGTCAACCTACTTTGTCACAACTGAAGAGGGCAACCTAATACCATCTCACTGTTCCTGCATCCACTGTCCCATCCATAAAGCCCTCATCAAAGCAGAGCACAGCACCTTGTCAACAAGGCCAAAGGAGATGGAGAATTTATATCCAGAAATATTTTCAAAGCTAGGAGTGCCACACATAGTATCTTTCTTTTCTTTTTCCTTCTTCCATATTTTTATTTCTGCTTAGATATGATCGTAATTGCTGGAGCACCCCCTACTAGGGTTTCTTCAATAGTGGTAGTGGTGCTTTTGGTGGGGGGTTGGTTGGTTGCTTTTTTAAAAAATAGAACAATTTGTATTTTTCTTAAGGCAGCTTATCTCTGTTGAGCACTGGGAGAAGAAGCAGGTGCAGGTACTGAACTGCCACAAGTGCAACAGAGGCATCTGCTGTCCTCAAGCACCCCAAGCTCTAAGAAGATGTAGAGATAGCTTAAACAGTTCAAAGGCACTCCCTGCTCCACAGCAAATCCTGCACTATCCTGTTCTACATTGTGTCCATGTGGTCTAACTTAATGAGAAAACAACACAGTCTTCTCAAATTTAACATTTAAGAGCTTTCTATGACACAGATTTTCAGGGGCTAATATATTTATTAGCTAATGTGAAGACACACAAATTTTGTAGAAAATTATATTTTAACCAAGTAGGGTTTATTTCTGTTGAATACTAAAGAATAGATTCCATGTATGGACACCACAGAATTGACTACAGAGCACTACCTAAGCATGGTTTTCACCAGCAGATTGGAAGATAAAATCACGGCTAACTGTCAGAATTCATATACTGTAAGAGTAAGGAATGCTGAACTTGCAAAAGAGAGAAGCACTTGTACATATTTAACGCTGACACACTTAATTTTCCTGGAGTACTGAAGTAGTCCCAAATCCTGTAAAGATGCTAAGCAAGAAAGCAGGTAGTGCAGCAGATTTAACACACTGTCGATACTAATACAGCCCAACAGGGATGTGAATGCAGGCTGATGGAGACATGACACAGCAGAGAGGATGCAGGATCAGAGCTATCATTTCTATTCAGAACCTACCCAAGCAGCTCACTAGGACTATTTTGCCGGTGGAACACATACAGCTCTTCACTTACCATTTTAAACTGTGCATATAAGTAACCGGTATAAAAATAAGTACCAGAAAAGTCTACTAGAATGTTTTTAGCTTTCATTTCTCAACTGTGATTTTAAAATTCCTACATGATGAGCTTGGAAGAAAGTAAATTAGTCACTGTTAGAACCAAAAAAATGACACATTCACTTCTAATAGAAACATTTATCAACAATTACAACTGTATTAGTCCTGCAAAAATAAGTCTGTTCAATGTATTTTTTATTGCAGTTGTGGTGCCAAGTAATAGGACAAGAGGCAATGGGCAGAAACTGATACACAGGAAGTTTCACCTGAACTAATTTTGTAAGAAACCAGGGCATCTTTCTCAAGTCATCTAAACTTCTCCACGTGCCACCTAGTGCTACCTAAGCACCTTAGGAGCAATCTGAGCCCACTACAGCCAGAAGCAAGTTCTTTATCAGCAGAACTGAGACGAGATTATTGCCCAATCATCAGAGAAGAAATGTAAAAACACATTTGCCTTTTACATTATAACAGTCAGATCGTCCAGTCTTGACATTGCCAAAAGCTTAAGTATTCAAGGCCAGCTGGGTTTTATTTACTTATTCATTCATTTACTATACTTTTTAATGGTACATCCACTTCTCTGAGCTCATTAACTTTGTATGCTGTTAAAGTCTGGGATCACATTGATTCTGCTGGAAATTACCTTTTGCTTAAGGTGGGCCTCCTCAAAAGAGAAACCTCTCAAGAGAGACCTCCACCATGCTCTGAATGAGGTAATCTGGTTTATGAGATGATAAAGCTGTTACAGATCCAGGCAGCTTCCGCTAATAGATGGGAGACTGCCCTCAAGAATAAAGGTTTGCTGTACAGACTTCACAGTCATAATCTCAGCTGACTGACCCGATTCCATAAAAATTATGTTACATGGTGATGTTACATCCTCAGAGGACAACTGAATATTTGGGGAACAAAAAAAACCAAAAAGCTGCTTACCAAACCTCCACTCTCCTTCTCCCAGGAATTTATAAGAATCCAATCCAAACTCAGCATCAACTCAAAACATGAGAAAATTCAATACAGAATTAAGTATTTGTGAAAAGTATCCCCAGGCAAGAACCTCAAACCAAATAAAGCATGGAAAGTCTACAAACACAAAAGTGGTTCAAAGTACTTCAGCAGCTTTGAGGGGTCAACTGTAATTCAAACATATAGAGCAAGAAGTTTTAACTGGAGCCTGACACAGATTCAGCCTCTTGCAAGGATATTAAGTCTATATTCTAAAGAAAATGGACACTGAACACGCCACAGTCAGAGTGTAGAAGTTCATATAACAAAATTGTGATGTTCTTTCTCCCAAATAACTAAACCCAGCTGTCAGTTAAGATTAATAATACTTAATAAATATTTTCATATGTGTGAAATAAAGTTCCTACATGCTGGCATTTAGGGATGAAGTTTCAGAATTGGATATAGGACGATAATAATCTACCTCTTTCTGAAACACAGCCCAAATTCCAGGAGTGCTGAATAACCACTAGCATACTTTATCTGGAAGCAATTGACTTCTCTAAAATTTTCAAGCTCATCCAGAAATTCCCAAAATAAAAGGCAGGCCTCCCCTGTCTGACACAACCCCATTGCGAATGAGGTATGGAGCTCAGCACAATCCATGCTGGCTCAGCAATATGGGTACTTTGGCCCTAAATGTCTAAATCTGGAGCCTGAGGATGCAGCAGGTGCAGCCCCCTCAGCCAGGAGCAGCTGGACCCAGTGAGGCAGGGAATATTGCCCATTTTCTGAAGTATGGCTCATACACAGCAACTGAAAGCCCTAGCCCCAGGCTGTACTGAAAATAATGTTTTGATTAGAGTGGCATGGTATTTCAGAATGTATGGTTCTTTGGCCACACTTTTATTTTTCAAAGGCCTGTGGGGAGTGCAAGTGGTACAGACCCAGGATGGATAAAGTATAAGGATTCCAATCTATGAGGAAGACAAAAATGATTGCGTGATTGAGGACATTATTCTAGTAAATATATCTATAATACATTACCATGTGGCGATTAACAGCTAGGAAGCTACACCAAAAAATACTCATCACCATCAAGTCTTCTACTGAACAATCCCAAATCCACCTACTCAGGCAGCATAGACTGGAAAAGCTTGGCATTTCACTCCTATTGCCTTGTATTCAAAGCTACTTGCTTAATAATAGGGCAGACATCTTAATTATATAGCTCTTTAAAACTGCTGTAACAAAAGAGGTTTAGGGGTTCTATTTTGGGTGGGGGGGGGAAATCTGTGCAGCTCCATTAAAGGTCACAAAATCACACCAGCTGAAGATGTGCCCTGCACAGCAACCACTGACTATGAATTAAGCCTAGGAATGGAGTAACTCTGTGCTAACGAGGCAATTAGCCTCTTCTAGCCCTGCTTCTGTTGGCAGTTCCACTACTGATCTTCTGAAGCCAGGTGCTTTTTATCCCCAGCACTATTAACTGCTACAACCTACTACAGATGGATAGTGGTGGTATGTCTTGGTGGGAATAGGCAAGTTGTGTAAACAATCTGTGATCACTTAGGTCCCAACAGATTCATTTAAACTTCACAAGACAGGAATTTGAATTTTATGTGCAAACTGGGCTTATCCTCGTCCTGTCTACATTATTTAACACACCATTAATGTATATTCTCATGTCTGTGAATAAGAAAAGTAAATATGACAGCTGACCAGATATGCACTGGATTTTTATTAATTTAATCTTAGCTTCCCAGGCTTATCAAAAAGATATATGTATTTCAAGGATTTGATATTTTAGAACTTTACATAATACTCACACTCCCACAAATCCCTCTGACTATTATATACATGTAACCAATGGAAAACTACAGCAAAGGAAATTAAGATAAGATATTTGTGAGAGCTAACACATAAAACTTCACCTGCACCTGCAAGACAAATTAAATTATTTTTAAAACAAAAGTAAAAAATACTGTCCAAAATCTGTGCTGTCATTTGCTCCCAAATAAAAACATCGAATGACAGAACACGTAGAGCTTGTTTGGTACACAGTTTTTTGCCCATTAATAACTCTACTCCCAACTGAGGAGCACTGGGACCATGCTTGCTCCCAGTTCTACAGCATGCACTCTACCAGTGTACAGCCAAGTACAATTTTAGACATAGTGTCCATGTCTCATTTATAGCACTTCAAGAATAGGGAGCAATGTGACAAACTTCTGGCATCTGAAGAACAAAGACTAGACTTTCTACTGAGAGGATATTTCTCATAAAAGATGCCGTGATCCTTGGTTTATAAAAAGGTTTGTTTCTCAATAGAAAAGTATATTTTAAAACACAATTATTTGCTAACAGCAATATAAAACTCTACAGTTTTAACTTCATAAAAGTTTAGCAAAACATAAATATTATCTACCACTTGCATTCCTATATACAGACCTTGCATTAGCTAGTTAAATAGTTGAGAGTTAATAACTCAAAAATGAATGGCACACAACTACAAGATTCCAATTCCATGTCACACTGCATAATCACAGTAACACAAGGAAGAGCTTAAAATCCTCAGTCACTGGATTCTGCTTTGCTCTCTTTATAGCTATGTTCCTCTTCTCTCTGCAATAATGCACCAGTTTCCATGGTCGTAGCAGGAAGAAAGTATCTGAAGCTCAGGCACATTCTCTTCCACCAGAGAACACAGCTCCCCTTCCCGAAAAACATGGTAATAACGCATGAAGGCCTTTGTATCCAACATGGCATCAGTTTGGTCCCCAACAGACACTGCTGAATCCAAAGCTGAGTCAGTGGAGTCAGTTGTTGAAGTTCTTTTGAAAAACTTGCTGGTATCAGACTTACCAGCACCATCTTTGTTACAACCACAGAGGCAGTCCCTGTCTTCCACTGGGACATTTATGAATGAAGCTTTGTCCCCCTTGCTCTGAACTACACTTTGGTGTCCTCCATTTAAACTTAAATCCTTCGGTGCATCTGTGGCTGGCGACCACTGTGGTTTTTTGAGAGACAGGCTTTCCACAAACACATCATCATCATCATCTAAACTTGGTTCATTTAACAGTGCCCCATGGTGACCTAAATCCAAACTGCAGTGTCGTGAATGTTGAATGGGTACGGTACTGTTTGCCCACACGCCTTCATGTTTCAGGTGCTTCATTTTGTCACTTTGCTTCCTCAGGGCTGCTTCATCAAGGGATCTGGAGAAAAACCATGAGCGGAAAGATCTTCCTAGAGCACTGTAAAACCTGTTTTCCTCCTCAGAAATTTTCATGCAGCAGGCTCTGGGTAAGCAATGGTCCATACTGCGGGAATGTTTTGAATCAGTTTCTGGCTGCAGATTGTTTTGGTAGCTGCACCCAGAGATGACAAGCTGTGCAGGGTGTATGTCTTGGCCTTTTGCTGTATGGACAAACTCACCCTTATCTCCAGATTGATTTGATTCTGAAAAATGGCGTGAGCACAAGGCCTTGTTCCATGGAACAAATACATCTTGTTTCTCAAAGCGACGATTCTTTTGTTCCATAGCCCAAACATAAATCATTATTTGGCCTCCAGGTGTCAGTATCCTTGCCATTTCCTTTATTGCTTTGATTCTTCTTTGTTTAGTTGAGAAATGATGTATCACTGCGAAAAAAAGAAAGGCATTATGTATTGAATATTAGGAAGGACAAAGCATTTCCATCTTCAACCTGTTCTAAATGTTCAATCATTTCAATTGCCTCATTCCAAATTATCACAAGTCAGCAACAGTGCTGAATTTATAGGTACCACAACGGAAGTTTACCTCAGAATGCTCTCTTTTATGATTATGTTCAATATAAATATTATATAAATACATGATTATTTTCAATGGATAAAAATAGAAAAATCTGGAAGGAAATTAATCTCACTCCAAAACAGGAAATCAAGAAAAGTCAGGTACATAAGCTAGAGGTTTCTGTTTCTCTACATAACCCATAACACATTATAACATGGCAAGCTTTCACTTAAATGCTTGGCCTTCAGGTGGGTCAGGTAGTGATCAGGCTGACTTTAGTTTTTTGGCACAATTTTCAGACTTATCTTACTGAAAACAGAAAATCTTTTCACCATGTAATAAATACAGCAAAAAGGAAATATCAGTAAAAAGATTACTTTGAACTTTTATATCAGCACAGTTGCAAAAGATCTAGTGAGAAAATTTAGAAAAATATTGACCATTGCTTTAATTTTGTCGAATTAAATTTAATTTTTGTAAAAAAGAATGTCTACATTGCACGTCTCAGCATTTTATATTTTTTTACATTATATTATGCTAGTAAAAAATAAAGTCAAATTTAGAATAAAATTTTTGATCCAAATATTTGGATTTGCTTTCCAGGACAATTTCCACATTTTTGAATTTCACTCCAGTGTGAAATTACACTACATTTCAAGATTTCTATATTTTTTCTATCTTCCTATTAACTGGGAGTATGAATGAGCCAATTTTAACAGTCAGAGAATAGCAAAGAGACCTATTTTCTCTCTAAACTCTCAGTGGCATTAACTTGTACTGAGCTTGGACACATTGGTCATGTTCTATATGTCATCAGTACTAGGTTTGATTCAGTGATACAAAGAGGATATAAAGAGGACTGATTCTATAATTTGTTTCAAGTGGATTTGGAGCCAACCACTTCTACATGATAAACATTCAATCTACCCACAGAACAGCAGATAATAGAGTATGTTCTTAGCTGAAGACATTTCTCAGTAAATCCAGAAAAATTTGATTATATGTGCTGCTTGACAGTAGCCAATTCTAGTTGTAGAAACAGAGTTAGTTCAACACTGCAGTTATGAAAATGCATCCAACTAGCCCTGTCTTTATTCAAAACAATGATTAAATTACCAAGGGGGAAAAAATTATAGCTTTATTACCACAAGCCAAGAAAAGCATTCTTGGCAGTTAATATCAACAAGGCTCCCACAAGCTGCTGAGAATACAAAATAGACAACTCTGAGAAGAGTTTCCAATCTATGTACTCAGTGCTTGTTTCCAGGTACTCCTGACTCCAAAGAATCTTTTTTCAAACTTTGAAAAAAAATAATTTAAACACCTATTTTTTTTTTGCACAGGATAGGGAGAAGGGAACTGATATTTTCTTATACTGGAGTTAGGCCATACATCACCACAGACGCTCCTGCAAAATTTTATCAAAACTGACAGAGATGACATACACACACAAGCTTAATTTACCAGAAAGGAATTACAATCAACCAACAGAATCTGTGCAAACTCTTTACTGGGTTAAATATTCCTTCTGGTTAGAATCACTCAGGTGGTTCTGCAGAAAAATCAGTCTTTTAGACATGATTATACCAGTAAACCCAAGAGGAGTATTTGACTAAGTACATAAATACTTGTTTTTCTCTGTAACAGGATGAAAACCACTTTATTTAGAATTAGATGGACAAAGGCATACCATGTCTCTATTCAAGAGGGATTAAAATCCATTATTGTTAAATGTACTGAAATAGCATGTAAACTTTTAAACTTGCCAGGCTTATAATTGATAGAAATAGGTATGCTATCCTTCAGTCAGCTGATTTGATAAGCACTGAAATTATGCTACGAGACCTGAAATGTGGGTAGGCTCACTGGTTAACTAGCCAACACGAAAGCGAAGTAATATGATTGTATTGGGTATTAGTCACCCTTTCCTTCCACCTGTTTATGTGAAAGATATATTTTAAAATAAATTTCTATCACATTTCAAGTAGTTTGTTGATTACTATCAATAATTATTTTCATGCTTTTTACTTTTGCTGATGAATTAAAAAACCCTGAAAGAACCTCAATCAAAATTAGAGCTAAAAACATAGACTGTAACTGGGTACTCTAACTATTTTTTATCTACACTTTGCAAATTATACTTCTCAAAATACGAGCAGTATTTTCAAAAATAGAGGTCAGAAGAGTTAAGATGCCGAGATGCTTGGTCATTTTAGGCAACAAGCACTTGTATGACTCTGAGTTGTTATGACTAAGAGAAATATGAATTCATAACACATAATAGTTAACATGACTTCCAAGTTCTGCTATAAAGTTTTCATTTCAATGCATTTGCTGATCAAAACAGATCCTATGGAGAAACCCAGAGTTTGTCTTGAGCGTCTAATCTGTTTAAACTTTGAGCAGCCATGTTTAGATTAGTTTTCACTTGTTTAAAATGCAGGCTGGAATGAAATCTTTTCTCTACCACATATAAACAAACAAATGATATGCATATTTCCTTGGTCAACAGTGCCTCTTGAGTAATGGGAGTTCTGTTTTTTCATGTTGACTACATTCATTTCAGTTATATCTCCTGTGATTCTAAGAAACTGTTTCAAAACAATTAACTGAAATGAAGCCACATAAAAATAAAAGAACACTCAGAAATTCTCATTTGCTGGGGCCAGAATGCAGGTATGTTGTCTTACCTCCAATTGAAATGACTGCATTAAAGCACTGATCCCTAAAGGGAAGGTTAAGGTTGTCACACACCAGAACTTCATCACCTTTCTTCCTTGCAATTTCTACCAGTCCTTCACAGTAATCGCAGCCTAGATTATACACTTGACTGTTGACACTGAGATACTTTCCAGTTCCACAACCTAAAGAAAAGGATACTAGGTCAGAAGTCATGTATTCTAGACATTTGCTCTCCCTCCCAAAGCAGTGAAAATAATATGAGGGCTTTCCTAATCCCATATTTTCCTGGAGGGTTTGTGCTGAGTAGCCTAACTGCTGCAGGACTGGATTTGGACTGTTGAAATTGTATGTTCACACTATTAGTATTGTAACAGCACCAACATCACCAACAAAAATACTCATTACACAGCCCTGTATAATAGCAGGTTATCTGTATTCCTGTGGGGAACAAGGATAAGTGCAGGTTGGAGGAGGAAAGAATGGTTCTCTGTAGCCACTATTGTACATCTTGGAGAACAAAATCCCAACCATGCTGCTTCACACCCGAGTCTTTATAAAGCCTGGTATCTCGTTACTAACAATGAGCATAAATGGGTGCCCAGGAGAGGGTAAGAAAAGGATAAGCATTAAGGCCCCTTTCCCCAGTACTGTTCCAGCTTCCAACTACTTTCTGTTCAGGGGACTTCCTGAAGCCATAAGTGTGTTATGTCTTTTCAGTGATCTGCAACAGATCTCTTTTGTTTGCTTAACCCCATGCAGTACTGCTCCAGTACATCTCACTACTCTCCAAGAACTCCTAAACCATAAATGCCTCTGACACAAGTCAGAGTGGAAATTTTTTACTTTAGATACAGACTTGAAAATAACCATAAATCATAAAAGTGAGTTCCATATTGTAGGCACATCCTCTTTTTGTCTTTGTGCCAATGCATTATAACCCATGTAAATGTAATGAACTGTTCCAGAACGTCTTCCACCTAAAAGTCTGTCTTCTCAAGGACTGTGCTGTACTAAATTGGAATTTTTCAGAGGATCCCTCAATGCCTTATGCATAACAATCCCTTTTCAAAATTATACTGGGAGCTGTTCACTGCAGCTCTGGGTCACTAGTGAGGAATAATTTCTGAAAGTTGACAGCCAAGCAACGGGGTAGCAGCTTAGCAAAGAGAATCATCTCAGTATTGGTAATTCAATTTAAAGGCCTGGAGTTATCTTTAGAAACATCACTGCTTCTTGCAGTGCCGGTGCTCTCAGTGATGTTAATGTGCACCATTATCTAGAGAGACAGCACAGGAACTATTGCAGAATAGAACAACACTTCAGTATTGAAAAAGAGAGTATTTCTCAGCTAAAAGCAAGCAATACTCTTTGAAGTAACATTTGAGAGAAATGGAAAGTATTCATATTACTAATGCAGTTCAAGTAATATATGCAATAATACATGAAGCTCTGCATGTTAGAAAACTACAAATTTTAAAAATTTGTATAAATTATTATTCATCATTGTGTTTGCAGAGGAACACATTTATTCAACCATCATTAATTCGGAAGATTCAGTTGCTTAATATATGAATTTTGGTGAAGTGCTTTTTAACCACTGTGAAGTTTTGGAAGTATAGAGTCCTCTCTGGGATGAAGCTAAATAGGGTCAAAAATCCTAGTATTCTAAAAATCTACAGTTGCCAGAGATTTGCTTTTAAATGAGTCATCAGGAAGGTGAATTCCTTCATGTAGCTAACAATGGCCAAGCTATTTTCATGTGTTTTGATCAATGAAAAATAGTAAGGCAAATAGACGTAATGATATTTTATAATAAAATATTATTACCTTTAATAAAAGGTAGTGTTAAACTGAAAAGAAAATTACCAATTAAAGATCTCATTTTGAAAATTTTAGTGCCAATAGGCAGTAGTGCCATTTTAGTGCAACTCCACTTCAGATATCTGCCAAAAGTAAACACAATAGTTAGATTCCTGTAGATCTTATTAAACCTCATGAAAGAAGATACCTTGTGTGCCTTAACGGGACTATTCTTACTGGCAACTGTAAGGATTGATCTTCTCTCCAGATGAGACGGCAACGGGGTGACCTTAAGCTTTCAGCAATCACTGCTGATAAAGCCTCAAAGAACTTCAGATAAGATGCAAATGACTTCTACTGAAGTGGCAACAATTTTGGCTGAGACGAACCAATCCAGCTCTCAGTTGAGTGAGTGTATGCCACAGGATATTTCCTGAGATTATTAGTGCCATTGGTGCAGACACCATCGTCTGTATCTGGCTGCAATGACAATTTTTTATAGCAAAAAGCTATTAAAATAGCTACATGTTCAAAGTAACATCAATCAAGTATTTTTGGTGTAGTGCTCAACAGCAACAGGAGAGCTACATATTATCTTCTGATTACAGCCTACAGCATATTAAAATAATGTTTTTCTCTTATAGGATAAAGTGGATGCATAATTTATTGTGCACATTTGTTAAACCTTCCTTTGTAGAAGTATTTTATTAGTTTAAACAGTATGGAAAACACAATGGTGCAAACAAGCATTTATTTGTAATGATGTGCTGTATAGGACTGAAGTCATAATGCAAGCAAAGGAAGCACACCAGCACCTGGAAACCCACAGAAAATCTGCAGGAGCGACAGAAAATCCAGGTATAAATGCTACATGTATGGAAGACAAGGCCATAGCAGGAAAACGAGATTTTGGTGTCCATATTTAGGATCATAGGGAGATGATTTTTTTTTAAAAATATTTTTAATAGCAATCACATCAGAAGATTCCTCTTAATAAAAAGCCTTGCTAGGAGGAGTTTCAGGAGAAATGAAAACCAATAAATTGCAGATTGGTATTACATAAACTAAGTGATCTACAGAAACTGAAATATTAAATAATTGGGCTATTAACATAATTTTTTCAAAAGGGTTCCAAGGGAATGACAGACCATTAAGCCAGTGAGGAAATGGATAGATTAAGACTTAGCTCAACAAAAAAAAGGAAAAAATTATTTACTGTCTACATGATACACTGCCAAAGAATTAAAAGAAGTGGTATATGGCATCTAGCATGGGGGCTTAAAACCAATTTTAAAACAGATTTAAACAAGTTAAAAAAGAGTTGATCTGAAGGCTAAATATGGTTAACAGCTAAACTAACAAAGCTTATAAACAATCTTTCACACCACTTCAAAGAATGGCTTACCTATATCAACAACGAGACTGCCAGGCTTTTGCTCCAGCAGAAAGTTCCGAACACGAGGCCATGCTTTGGTCTGTAGATCACTAAAGTAGGCAGCTGTATTTTCATACACACTGTGCACGTGCTGCTTTTCTAGCTGGGTAGCCTCATGTTCCATCCTGAAAACATAATGAAGATTATGTATAACAAAACACAAATTGTTGCAGCATACACTTTACATTTTATACATATACACAATTCAGGACCTTCTACATTTATATTCATTAAACTATTACAGCCATCTAACAGACTATTTATAAAATAGTCTTAATTCAAAGGATCTGATTTTAATTTCATGAAAGTCAAGAAAAAATGTGAATGTAATACCTCCCCTGTGAAGCATTATGTAACTGCACATGCCTATGCAATAATAGCTACATTCCCAAGTTCACCAATATAGTAAAAGCTGATCTTGTGCAAAAGAGAGCCCATATTCAGTGAAAGTGCAGAACAGTTATAGAATCATAGAATCATTTAGCTTGGAAAGACCTTTATGATCATCAGTCCAACCAGATGTGAACAGGATTTCTGTGAACAGTTGTGAACCAACCTTCCTGTTGTTGCTAATGTGAATAGACAAACTACTAATATATTACTTGAAATACAGCTTGGTCCCTGAAACCTAAGCCCCTATATCATCCATAAGTGATTTTTGGTTTAACAGCCCTCTAGAAGTGATTAGTTCACTAAAATTTTTCAGCAACAAAACCTCAGTTTCCCTACTTCTACTCCAGTACCTTCACGACTTAGCACAGTATTTTAGTTTAGTGATTTGAGAAGTGGTATCTTCTTAAACTTTAAGTATTACCCCCAAGCTCATGTAGAACACAAAGTGGATGCAGACACTGAATCCCTTCATACAGAATCTTATACCTTCCTTAACGTGTCCTCACAGCCAAGGACCAACCAAGTCAGGTTTCAGTATCTGATAAAGGCTGATGAGATTACATTTCAAAGTGCTAAGGCACTCTTCAAACTAATTTAAACTGTATATCTGGGAAATATTTCTTCCCATTATTAAAACAAAACTTATTCAATTGTCCAAGAACTCAACAGAGAGTAAAGTCTGTTTCCAAACATCCAATAGACTAAGCAATGTATTATCAAGATAAAATTATAAATGTGACTCCTTTGACTGCATTTGAAAAGGTCAGAAGCAAAGACTTTAATTTACTTTTCTTGATTTTCATATTTAGGAACCATAATAAAAATTTCTTCTTGTCACTTTCAGTATTGAAATACACGACTATGAGAAAAAATATGAGAATATGAGAAATTATGGTATCTATGAGAAAAAACATTCTAATTTTTTTTTTAAATGTATGTCTAATAAATACTGTGAGCTGACACCACAGCTGTTCTACAGACACATCTATCCATCACCTGTCCTACAAATACAATCATTTGAATTTAAAAAATAGGAGTTAATCCCAGTGACTGAAAAAATCAACGCACTTCAAGTGTGTGTGAATGTTTACAGAATAGTACGTAAGGCTTGATCCATTTCACTGGTACTGTGTAAGAGGTAGGGACAAACTGTTCACTGTTTTTGCAGTCTAGTCTGACTGTAGTATCTATGAATATCTCTCTTCAAAACATTTACGTTCAATATTTTCACAATCCTTACTTTATCTTTTTTCTATAATCCACAATTTCATTTTATGTTGCTGTAGCTCACCTTTTGTTAGGTGAACACACACATATACATAAAAATTAAATTCAGAAACAATATAGTACATTGCTAATAGGCACATTTTCAGTTTCATTGAAGACTGAAAAGCTGTAACAAACTGAACAAGAGAAGCAACATAGACTTGAAATTATATTACATGTGCCAGAAGTTACTCAATCAAAATTTTTCTCATAACCCATTTAAAGTTGGATTCTATGATGTCACATAGCATGGGTTAGTTGCAGTAATTTCAATAAGTATTCCTTAAAGTCAAAAGCCAAATCCTTAGTTTTTATTTGACCCTTAAATATATAAACTTGGTGTTTTGTGTCTTCAGCTGTCTTTTTTCTCTGCCTCAAAATATATTCTGTTTGGTTGTTCAACTGCCTAAGAGTCTTCTATTTATAAGTAGCAATTCCAAAGACTAACAGTCATTTCTTTTATTTTGTTGCCTGACAAGTTCCTTGCTCTAATTTATATTTCATGTTTAGTTACTATGTGGTTCAGTGTATCCAAGTGCTCTCTTTTATTTTTCCACTTGATGCTCTTTGTTCAATCTTTGCAGTTCTTAAACCTGAAAAGGCAGAATGTTTTCAACCATTCATACTGAATTCCAAATGCTGTATTTTTTTCTGTATTTTCCTGAAATGTCTACATTGAATTCCAACGCAGACTGAGATCTGTCTTAGTTTCCTATTGAATTCAAGCTCATTAAGTTCTTCCTGTAACTTTCTCATTCACTGGAACAGGTACTGGGTCTTCAGCTACACGGGACATGCTGGAGACTTACATGTATTACGACACAGCATTAGGGGTTATTATTTTTAGATCTTCTTAATAAATATTTTCAAGAAAATAATTTTGTTATAATAGAATAATGGTAGTATACTAAAAAAATTACTTCATGCACCACGTTTTAATAATTTCCATTCCTGATAATTGTTTATATTTGGCAAATAAGGCACATGATGAAATCAAACTTGCCAATTGACTTTCCAGTCAAGATCCATAATACTATCAGCTTTTACTCTGCAGCATGGCAGGTAATGTCCCAGCAATTAACCTCTTCATTTCAACGTTTACAAAACACAAGGAACGTGTGGAGTCTGCCCAGACCTGCAGCTGTACCACTTCCACACAAGTATACTGTCACCAAAAAACCACAGAAGCTTAGACCAATATAGCTTTACAAGTCAAACTCAATGCTCCTATTTCTCTTTCTAAACAAAAACAACCATTACAACTTCTTTGCCTTGAAAATAACAGTCAGTGCCTCTGTTGGACATGAATGGTAGAAAATATTAATTTCATCCAACTTCTGGATTTAACTTCCTGGATAATTGGAAAGTCTGTTTTGTAAAGTAGGTAATGAAAATCTGCCCAGAAACCCCACTGCTTCAGCATCTGCTCCAGTTCTCATTTAAGCTACCCAGAAGCTGTAAGACTAGCAAAGAGAAGCAGAAGGTGGTAATTATGGACACTTTTCCCATGCTCAATTCTTCTCTTGTGCTTACACTCCTGTTAAAGGGCTCATGTAGAGGCTTGGAGCAGAGATGGGAGTGTGCAGTAAATTGGCACTGAGCTGTTCAGCCACTCTGCAGCAAGTCTTGCCAAGTCCCTGAAATGTGTATGCAGCTCGACAAATGTACACCTCCAGCAAGCAAGCTTGGATAATAACAGAAGAGCAGGATTCTCCTCCCTTTCAGTGCTTCCTGGCCATCCTCCTGGTGATTCATTCATGAGATTCCAATAGGCTCTTGTTGCAGCTGATCTATTAAATGAGGAAACTGGACGAAAACTGCTGAATTTAGTGGGAAGTGGACACCAGTCCATCACACATAACTGTGGTACATTAACAAACCATTTGAAAGTAAATAGGTTGTAGTCCATTGACTTTTTCCTACATTGCTCTTTTCCCTCTTTGTTAAAAAGACCCCAAAAACAATCAAGCTAAAAAAAAAAACTAAAATATTACAGCTTCAAAAACAGTAAAAGGAATTGTATAAACACAATATATATTTTCATCACTATGTATCTCACTAAGACTTCTCTGGCTCTAAGGTAATCTAATTTCTTCCCTTTCCATTAACATTCTGCAACCTTTTAGATAATTAACTTTTCAAGGATACTGCTTTAATAAAAGTCATGTTGCTTGGATATTTTTTTATCGCTGCTGAAGTAAAAAATACATTTCAGCAAGTGACCTTGAAATGAAAACAACCAAAATTAATAACTCCCATTTCCAAGATTTTTTTTTTAAACCATGTTTGGGTTTTTGGGGTTATTTTGGGAAGGTGAGCATGTTTGAAATTTTGTTGTTGGTTTTGAAAGCATTTAATTTACAATGTTGACTAATGGTATTAAACACCTCATCCTCAAGTGCACAAAATACTTGCTGGCTCCCAGATGCCTGGGGTATCTTGAAACTGAAGCACAGGAGGTAGTGTTCAGTCCAAAAACACTGCCTCTATCACAGTCTACCAAAAGCTTTTCACACTTACCTGCAGTTCTGAATCACTTGCAGGCCTCCTCACCTACTTCAACTTATCTCCTCCCAGTCACTTATGATTTTCATCTTCCATCTTCTTTTCATTTACTACACCTTCCTCCATCTCCTTTAGCATGTGCTATGTCAGCACAACTACTGAACTTGATGTAATGCTGCATAATACTGTGAAGTCTTGACCTGGCTCATGTCCAGCTCCTTCTTGCCTTTTTATTCAGGCCATACACAATACTGCTATACGTCACAAAGCTTTTGACAATGGCCTCTTGGAACCACCTTGTAATTTTCCTGAATTGATCATATTTGTCTTGAAATCAATCGCTCTTGATTAATTTGCACCACAGACCTTCCTTGTCTTCTCTCTTGCAACTATTTTATCTAACCCTTTAATGAGCAGCATGGATTCACTCAATTCAGTGCAAGATTTCAGCCTATTAATGAGGGCCCCTCTTAGATACACTCTTTTTCACATGCTGATGGGAATTCTTAGTATAATTTTGGATAAGAACTGCTTCAAAGATCTGGGAAATTCAGTACAGTTGTGTCTCTCTTTGTTGCCACAGCAACATAAATCTTGATTACACATGTAACTCCAGCTATGGATGCAATAACCTAATTAATCACTTAAATGGAACAGGATAAACCACAAGGGCTAGGTCTACATCCTCAATACCCTGCTCTCCAGCAATAACACGCACTCGTAGCTGTTACTAACATCTAAGTAAAAGGTGGGGCAGTCCAATTTGTATTTCTCCCTTCGTCTCTAGAATAGGAAGAATCACCTATTCAGTGAGAAATGTTTTCAGTTTGCTTCCAAAACTTAGCAGTCTTTTCATTCAAATACAGGTAGCCATGAAAACCAAGTGTACAAGCCTAGTGGACTAAAAACCACAGTATTTTTTCCCATGCTAAAACAAAAATCCAATTCATCTCCAACAGCA